ATCTACTACTCCCACTTGGGACCCCACTTGGGTGGGTCCTCATCACTCTGACTCCTCTCTCTTGGCATCTCTCTATTGTCTTCGCTTTCTCCACCAGCTTTGGGAATCTCCTGATAGAGAAAGGAACCACCATGAGCATGATCTCAGCCCTCAAGCCTTCCTCAAACTTCCTACAATGCCACTATTCTGAAGATGTACTTGTGTAGAAACAAGATAAGTGTTCAAATCGTACGACGTAATCATGCACCGTCATATTACTCTATCTCAGACTCAGGAACTCAGTCTCCTTCCGAAATCTAACACTGTCAAGGAAGTATTTCTCCAAAAACCTCTCACGGAAGGTTTCCCAATTACACACCTCCCCACGTGCAATCACCATCCTTTGAGTCCCTGACCACCAGAACTCAACCTCATCCACTAGTAAGTATTTTTCAAATGTCAATTTCTTATCTTCTGGGCATAAGGTAGCCTCAAAAATCTTCTCCACTTCACGCAACCACTTCTCTGCTGCATCTGGACCCAAATCTCCTCCAAAACGAGGCGGATTATGCCTCATGAACTCAGTCAGTCCCATCTGCTCTGATTGGTGAAATCCAATAGAGGATGATGTCATAGTTGGCCTCACTGCGGGTAGGTAGCCTGCAGCTGCCAACATTTCCATTGCCCTGGCTAGGGCATCTACACTCAGTGGAGTAGGAGTAGGAGTAGGAGGTCGCGGTGCCATCCTATATCAAATGCAACCATCAATACAGAGCAAACATTCACACACACTCACATATCAGAGTATAATCACAACAGACTTATCATAGGGTCACTACCCATCCTCACAAATTTACAAGGATACTACCGCTATGATACCACTATTGTAACAACCATAGAAATCGCTACTATAATGATGTCTTCGCAAAGTAGTAAACAAGTAAATAACAACATTTATTTTACATTATATTACTGTAATTGTAACATATATTGAAATTCCAGTTCACTAACGGAACTTCAAAATATAGTAATATAATTTATTTATATATTATACATGTAAAAGTAGCTCCCTCGAAGCTATCCCACTGAACTATCCTTGTTGTCCAGTAGTCACATCACCATCTCTCAACTCCTGATCTGCTCCCGCATAAAAGTGATCATCGCAGTCCCATCCACATGGAAAAATAGGGGTAAGTATTAAATCATTCAATATAATAAAACAGATATAGAAATAATAATTATATATTATGATCAATTACAAAATTATCAACACACTAAGACACCTTCCGGAAGTATACCCTAACTATGCCCGAACTCAGAGGCTATCATCTGTGGGCACATTGTGATCGGTACCCGCAGTACCATTCTGACCACCCTCCACACAGAGTAGGATTACTGGCGCCCTTCATCACTCATACTGGAGTACCCCTCCGAGCGCGCCACCAGTCATCCCCCCATCGACTTCTCACCACCTGATCTCGTAGTCTACCTGACCCGACCAATCAGTGAAGTCTGGGACCTCATTCAGAATCCTCCGACATAGTTATTACACTAATGTACTCTGTACCACCCCGGGTACCATTCAAACATAACAAAATTTATTCACATTTGCCGGATTCTGGACCACCTGTCCTCACGGCTCATTCGAGTCAATAAAAATAGTATTTGACTGATTCTGGCACCAACCCTCCGGCTCAGTCTAGCCAATATATAACGTCTCAGGACTGATTCTGGGCATCAGCCCTCAGGCTCAGTCTGACCCACACACGTCACAACACACTACTTTCATTCTCTCTCTCTCTTTATATATATATTTTTCTAAAATCATTTCCGAAATCATTTCCGAAATCATTTCTGAAATCATTTCCGAAACTATTTTCGAAATCATTTTTGAAATCATTAAATTACTATTTTTTCCCTTAATCTTTTCTTAAAATTCCATGTATGTCCTTAAATGACTATTTTATCCTTGGACATTTTTTAAAATTCCTTCCATGTCCCGAAAATGACTATTTTGCCCTTGGACATTTTCAAAAATTCCTTCCATGTCCCAAAAATGATTATTTTACCCTTGAAAATTTTCAAAAATTCCATTTATGTCCCTAGGATGTAAAATGACTATTTTACCCTTGATCTTTTAAAAAAAATCCCCACCATATCCCTTTCTTCTTCCTTCGCCCAGTAACAGTGTCAAAATTTGCAGATTTTGGCAGATTTCAAATTACTCAATTTTAGACAACCAAACTAGTCCCAAATCGAAATTAAACATGAATTATATCTAATTTAAGTTGAAAACAACAATTTTACCATATAATTCATCCTTAATTTCAAGAATTTAATCAATATTTAAAACTTTTCAAAATATGAATAGTAATCACCTCCAAGTACGCCATTTTCAAAATCCAGGTTTCAATTTCTCAGTTTCAATCACCCAAATTAGTTCCAAATCAAAATTAAACCATAAACATGTTCAATTTAAGTTAAAAACAACAATTTTATTATATAATTCATCCTTAATTTCAAGAATTTCAAAAACTTTCAAACGGTGAACAGTTCGTCAGAATCAGAAATTCTTCAAAATCAGACATTCAAATAATTCATATCTCTACTCCTATTCCTTATTCATACGATATTCACAGAGTACCCAACAATTCAATTTCATATATTGAATGAATTAAATTTCTCCTTACCTGGTATGGTATTTCTACCGAAGCTTTCCCACATAATTTAAGTTCTCTCCCGTTTCACCAGATCCTGCACGAGTAGAGTCTCGTTGCTTGAAATTTAGACAATAGAAGAAGAAGAATGAGGAACATGTGATATGGGAGGAAGAATTTCCCGCAGAAACCATTCATCCCCCTTCGAACATATAAAAGAAAAAAAATTTACTGTGCATGAGGAAAACTTTGTTACGAAGTTTTCTTGCACGATAAAAAGCATACGTCACACTCATGACGAATATATAAATATTTTCCTATTGAAAATCACACACAAGAATCATAATAGATGAAAAAAAAAAAGATTGAAAATATCATGGCCAATATATAAATATTTACACACAGAGTTAAATGCTATTTTGATATGATAAAATATGATATAAATATTCTAGTACTAATATTGATTTAATACAAGATATATAAGTTAGAAGAGTTATTCAACAAATTATCTCCTCAAACGTAAAATGGTGTGCTAGTAACTACATCAGGAAGATAAATTTATACTTTGTCAAAAACATTCTCTAAACAAAAAGCTAGTGTGATAAGGCAAAGCCTATCGAACTTGTCATAATACATTTTTTTGCCTGTTAGTAAGTTTGTGTGAAAGGATGAAGCCTACTAAACTTGTCATAATAATTTTTATTTAGCACAAAGCTAATGTGAAAGGGTGGAACTATTACATCACGTTGTCAATAATCGTAACTATTGCAAGTTATTATTGGAGGCAGCTACCACAGTACATAAATAAGATGGAGTCTTTCTATCTCATCTTAAACAAATAAAAAGAGTTAATTCAATTTCATCTCAAATTATCCAAGTTATACATTAAAACTAAATTAGGTATTATCCAAGCATCTCATTACGGTATAACAATTATCTAAACACATCATTACACCGTAACAATTATCTGAGTTCATCATTGCATCATAATAATAATATGTCATCACACATGATACCACCAAATCGAATATATTATCATACATTTATAACATGTACGTGATGTATATTTCAAAAAGATATTTCTCTACTTTGAATACATTTGGATCATAACTCTAGATAAAGCATAAATTTATCGTTTTTCAAAATAAATTTGCCTTAATAATACTTTATCAATTAAAAAACAAGTATTAAAAAAAATTGTAATTGTTAAATAAACTTAGTTACACCAACAATAAAGAAAAACAATTTACTTATATAAATAAAAAACTAACACAAATTCACTCAAAGTTTTATAAACTTTTATAGACGAGATTTATTACACCGCTTATTTATCTATACTAAAGTTTGACTTTGGACGGAAAAGAATTATGTATTTACAAGAATTTTTGTATTTATTACGTTTAAAAATAATATTTTTTTCATTTAATATCTTTAAATATTATTACGATAATAAAACATAATTAATATAATGTATTACTTAATTATACATGATATTACATTAATAAAATAATAATCAACATTAACCAAATATAAATGATCACTTAAATATTATTCTTGTGAGAGTCCTAGTAATAGAATGATTGTACTCTTATATAATCTCATGTTTAATATTCATTATACTTCAAAAACTTTTCTATTTTTTTTTATATTTTTATTCTTTTTTACGCTTACTTAAACGAAATCTTTTTACGAGTGGATCTTTTCTTTCTTTTTTTTTCGTTCAACAAACTAATAAATTATATTCCTTTAAAATACTTTTATTTAAATTAAGAAAATGACCACATTTTTTAGACAAATTAATTATAAGCTTAAGATTCTGATCTTCATCACTGTCCATATCCTCTTTCCAGCTTTACAATTCTTGTTTTCTCAATCTTTTGTCCAGATTCAACTCTCTCTATCTTTCTTTTCTCTCTAGCGGTTACCACAATACGTGCCCTTTTCGATGCATTACATGTCCTTCTTAAAACTATGTGAGCCCAGTTACCCACCACTTTCTGCTACACCTGGACACTCATGTCGGTCGCTCCTTTCACGTGAATAGATTCCTTAACCAACATTTCACTCCTCCGACTCAACATAGTACACAAATCTAGTACATTTTTTATTGATATCTTTAATTAACCTTTTTAAAAGTAAACCCTACTAAGAACCAGTAAAACTATAATCTGTAGATAATAACCAATATCTCTAACATTGGTAAACTTCAGTGACCAAAACTATCGTTTAGCAAACTTGGGTTTACGTCTAGTTTTAGAAATTTCTGGTACTTACTGTTAACTACTTTCTATTCTAGCTATAAATAGATGGGAGAAACACTCCTTTGTTTATATTGATCTAGGTGAGGGTGGTACGTAAGTAGCAATGGACAAGGCAAGAGTTGGGTTTTTCTTCATGTTGTTGATTCTCCTTGCTTCTCGTAAGCCTCTATGTATGCAATTATATACGATTCAATAGGAATATATACGTAATTATAACTGTGTTTGTTGTGATAATTAATGCAGAGGATGGTGCAAACGGAGGGAAGACACTGTGAGTCAAAGAGCCATCGATTTAAAGGGATGTGCCTCAGCGACCATAACTGTGCTTCGGTTTGCCATGTTGAAGGCTTCAATAGTGGAAAGTGTGGCGGATTTCGTAGACGCTGTTTCTGCACCAGGCACTGTTAGTTGCTCCATGCAATTTCATCTCTCACTGCTCTTTCACCTTCTTGTTTCTGGGATTCAAAAATAATAACCACCCCTTAACCAGTTGGGCTTCTCTAGGTTCAGTTTGGTTGGTTTTATGTGTTGTGCTTTGACTTCAATTTAATTTGTCACTTCTTGTAACTGCAGTTTTCTAGTGTTGTATGTTTCGCTTTCATGGCACCAAAAGCAGTGAAACTGCACCTTTTTCATCTCTTTCTTGTAGTATTATTACTGCTAATGTTGTTGTTGCTGTTTTGTCCTTGAAGATGTAACACGTTAAAATATATCAATAATTTTATTTCAACTTTGATATACTAGTTTCAGTAATAATATTGACATGTACTCAATAATAATTGTTAAATTTAAAAAGTTAGATGAAACAACCAATAGTTTTAAGAATTTGATTTAAAAAGAATGTACAACATCACTTAATATATAATTTCAGAGACCAAAGAGCAAATAGGGGTTTGATGAAAACGATTTACTCTAACCTTGAAGGAAGGTGCAAAAATGTATGTACAAAGAATGAAAGAATGGTGGGTTGGGTGGGATATGACCGATATTAACAACTGGGCCTAGTTGTTTCCAGCATTGTGAAGCCCAAGTGAAAGTTTGATGGGCTTTACATTTTGAGGCCGAAAGCAATTAATGCGACGATGGAACCCTAGAGAGCATTACTTCTGGAAGTTGACCAAAAGCAAAAGGTACAGCCGATAAGAGAAGTGCAAATATTGTTTTTAAATGTAATTAAACACACGACCCAACTTTGTTAGGTAACATAGATGATGGGCAACAAAGTTTTTTAGTTGGTCTTCTTTGTCCTCATCCCAAAATTCTCAACTTCTCAATAGTCAATAGTGTCTTGCTTGCCGTTAAGGGTTTGAACTTTGACTCTGGGGCCATGTATAGTGATAGACTATTTGTTTACCATGTTCCCAAAACATTGAATAGGTTTGTTAGGTCTTGATGAGATGAGACAAAAAACATTGTGTGTGACATGTCTAGATCCTAACCTCAAAATACACACCACCACCGCGACAAACCCTAGTCATCGTTTACTAGAGGTGGGGTTGAACATTTATCACTACCTATGGGGAAATTTTGTACAAGAGATTATTAAACTTGACAAAAATAATATTATTGGTTCACACATACCTAATTGTTACTACATGCATATAAAGTGCATGTTATTAACTAATAAGGTGTTGAAAATTGAGGATGGAGATGGAATCGGATTCTGCATATCTAGTTGGGTGGTTAAAAAGATTTACAAAGATATATGTATATGTATATATATTAATATAAAAGGTAGAGAGGGTGTGTTGGAATTATATCCCTAGAAAATGAATTGGCATGTTGGAATTAGGCAGTTGAGAGAGAGAGACAACAAAGGCTGAGATGAATTAAGACATGGATTGGTTTTGTGAACGTGGAAGAAAGAGTCAACAAAATATGATGCCCTTTTAATGATTTTAGAATTATGGAATATATGCGCAACAACATGCGTTGAACAATTGCAAATTACATTGGTTCTTCACTTTTTGGGGTGTTCCTAATCTAATCTCCATCATGCAGGGCCACATCACGAGATCTCTCACTGCCAGTGGTGACAAATTAATAGACCCTTGGTCACAGTCAAAATACTCCTCCAAGATAAGAATAATAGCAATTCCATGATTAAGAAAATATAATATAATGAAGGGGAAGAAGTTGAAAAGCATGATGATGAGTGTATTGGAGTGTGGCATGAAGAAATGAATGGCCCAGGTCATTCCAATGGATGATGAGGTGGGAGAAGCATGTGGGGAAGGAGGTGGGTCACCAACCTTGCAGATTCTTCCCCTTATTTTAAAGGGTAATTTTGTTGTAGTGCTTCTAGAAGCAACAAAAAACTAAGGTAGGAAGGTGAGGCTTACCAACCATGTCCATAAAAAAAAATGAAAAAAATTGACATGGCCGGCTCAGAATGGCATAACTGTGTTGGATGGTAAAGGAGGTTGGTTGAACTTTGAAAATGACAAATATTGATCAAGATACCCATCATTACCAATATTATAACTAGATCAATTCAACAAGTATTCTTCTGACCTCACACTTCCACACCCATATATATCATCTTCTAAACCTTCTTCTTCTCACGGGACCTTAACTCACAACACACTCCACACATCAATCAACGTATGTTTCCTACTAAGCAATGGGACCACTCCATCACTTTTTCTTTCTTCCAATACATCTAATATATATACACTCTAATATTTCTTCCATAACATCAATAAAAATCTCCCCAACTTATGTTAATATACACTCCATCACATTTAACTTATTTTTGTGGTCAACAGGTTGAAACCATGTCACCCATTGTGTCAATAAATTTAACCATATGCGATGTTGGGAAAAAATAGAAAGCATTGAAAATAAAGTTAATAATATTATTGATACAATAATAAAGTAGACTGTTTTAGGGTTGAGATTGAATTGATTTGATGATTTGAATAATGAGGGTAGTGGGTGAAAGAAAGGGATACTGTTGATGAGCACTAGGTGGCAATCTCAACCATGGATGGTAGGGGACGTCAGTAACTTGTATCCAACCTGAATTGACAAGAGTAAGTGGAGTGAGTTGAGAGTTGAGACATGCTTCTAGAAACCTCCCTTATCACAATACAAAACAGGACAAATAATAATAAGAAAGCAAGTAGTTAGAAAACAGTGTACATTAAAAAACTTGGGGGAAGATAATAAGACTGGGTTTTGGTTTTGTACTCAACAAAATGTTTGGTGTGCATTGCCACATTTTAAACTTCACACTCACTCACTCACTCACTCATGTGGGGGCAAAATGCTTTTCTTCTCCTACCTCTTAGTACCTTTTATTTTGTCGTTAGGTATAGTTTTAATTTTTCTTTTTCTTTTTTTACCTGTGTCTTCGTTCATTAACCCTTGCTCCTTCTACTCTGCGTGTACTAAACAAATTTTACTTTTTCTTAATCATATTTCAAGTAGTATTATTCTTTAAGATGCTACCTTCTATTTTCTAGTTTTTATATTCAATCTCTTGTTGTCTATTTAATACTTTTTAAATTTGATAAAGTTTAGTATAATTTATAACACAAAATGAAAGTATAAAGATGTAATTTTATTTTAATTAGAAAATTTTAAGATATTGTATAATTTAATAACACTTTGTAAAAGTCTTCCAATACTTATATAATTAAAAAGCTAAATTATAAATACCTTAAAATAAGCTGGTTTAGCAATTTTTGGTTACTAATTTCTCTTTCTCACGTAACGACTACAATATGATCCTCTTTCACACATATATATTAACAAGAAGTATGAATATTCGATTTTTAAAATAATAAATTTTTAATCTCACGTTTTCCATAAACGTTTTACTTTGGTTGGTGTAGAAAACATAGTTAATTTAAAAATGAACTAGAAAAAAAATATTTCATTCAAATGTGAATCAATTTAAAATTTAGATTCTTACTGAAATTAATTATGATTGTGGGAAAGATGATGTATGATTTTTAGCTAATTTTACGAAATATATTAAGTTATTCTGATTAAACCTTTAACAAATTGAGGTTTAGTTTTTTTTTCCTTTCAGTTCAGAGAATTTTTAACCTTAATATCAAATAAAATTTAAAATATATTTTCGATTATAAAGAAACTGGTTAAGCATTTATCTCTCTATTTCAACCATCATTTACTTAATACAATAGTCACATATAAGAGTATCAAATATGAACAAATTTAAATCAATTGAAATCTTATTAAAATGAAACTTTTAACTTAATTAGTGAAACATATTTCTTAAAATATTATTATGGTTGAATTAATTAAATGAGTGAATGAAATTCGTTAATAATATAACAAGTCACTTCTAGTATATAAAATTAAAACAACAAACGATGTCATTTTCTAAAAAGCAAACAAATAATCAACTTTCTCATCATCACCTTTTCTTTCTGTAAATAATGAGTGTAATCGAGTTAGAAACATAAAATATTCGTTGCACCAAACCTTACCTAAATCAAAAACCAAAAATTCTTTTCCGTTGACTTTGCACCTAACATCATCTACATCCAAATCCAAAAATCTTTTCTGTTGATTGGTGATCAATAAAAACAACTTGATGTGCATCTTATGCATTTACTAATTTTCTCATAAACATTTGATGCTTCTCTGCGTCTTCCTCAACCAAAATGGTACCTTAAATTAAGGTTGTCAAAGTGATTGAGGATAGTTGTTTTTTCTGGGCTTTTTTCTTTTTCTTTTTCTATAAATAATGGTATTTGTAACTTGCAAGAAACTTAGTTACAAGATATTGGAATATGAAAGCTTCGAAATTGCACAGCTTGTGATAATATATAATTATTTTTACAAAAAAAGTCTAGATGTTCAAAATGAATGGTTTTCATTTTTAACATGGGTAACTAAAGATTCATGAAAAATACTAATTTATATTTCATTGTTTAAAGATGATTCTTTTGATTAGAATATGTATTTTTTTAACTTTTTAAAATTAATATTTAAATATATATATATATAATTATATATATAGTAAAACGAGTTAATTTATCTTATTTAAATCTTCTTCGTCTCTAATTGAACCAATTGATCTGTAACTACAACGAATTATATATTTTAGTTTATTTTATTAGAAAACACACTAATATATTAAGGGATTAATTTATTACTAATTTTTTAATATAAATTATATATACTAATGTGTTAAACTGATCAATTTATTAATAATTTTTTTATATCAATTATATATATATATATATATATATATATATATATATATTATAAAATATATTTTTAGTTATATGATATTTTATTTATAATTTTGAATATTTTATTATATTTTAATTTAAAATAGTTGTTCAATTATTTAATAAATTTAAAGTATTATTAACAGTGATTTTGGTTATATCACAGCACAAACATACATATTTTTACCTTTATTAGTAAAATATAAAGATATTGGTTGCAGTCATTTAATTTTAAACATTTAAAATCACGTTATATATGAAGAAATCTGTTAAGTGGTACAAATAACCTCAATCAAATGAACTAAAATAGATGTTGATTTCGTTTTGATAAATACCTAGATCCTGCAAATTGTTTTGTTTTTGAGTGATACTACAAAAATTGTTTTGATTACAAAAACTACTAATGATACAGCAATGCTTAAAGTGAAGAATTTGAGTGATCATTTTTAATAAATATTTATAATTTTTTTTATTCATACAACTTTTAAAGTGATTATTAGGCTGAAACAGAAGAAATAAAGTTAAAAAGAAAGTAGTTAGTTAGATGCACCTGGTGAATTAGATGAAGAGGCGAAAGTGGGAATAAAAGAAAGAAGAGGGGGAGAGATGAAAATAGGAAGAAAGAGGGAGAGAGAGAAAAAAAGTTGAGGAACATGAAAAGCAGAGCTACCTACCAAATCCAGCACTAACTTAATTGTAACCACTCGTCTTTCTCACCAACTCGGTCAAATACTCTCTCTTCCTCTTTCTCTTGCATTACATTACTTCTCAGAAAAAGAAGGTCCCCGAGTCAATTGCACCTCCTCTTGTTCTCCACCACCCCCCATTTATATTCCTCCCACCCCCTTTTCTCACCAATTACTTTCCAGCTTCCATTCCTCCACACACACACACCACTGCACATCACAACAAATCTTATTCTCTCTCTCTCTCCCTCTCACCCTCACCAACCAACCACAACCATGGGTAGATCTCCTTGTTGTGAGAAAGAACACACAAACAAAGGGGCTTGGACCAAAGAAGAAGACGAACGCCTCATCAACTACATCAAACTCCATGGTGAAGGTTGTTGGAGATCCCTCCCTAAAGCTGCTGGTAACTACATCTTAAATCTCATCATTCTTCAATATTAATCATCCATCCAATTAAAAAATGTACCTTGTTTCTTTCTTTTACACTAACCCCATTTCTCATCACAGGATTGCTCAGATGTGGCAAGAGTTGCAGACTCAGATGGATAAATTACCTCAGACCTGATCTAAAGAGAGGCAACTTCACTGAAGATGAAGACGAACTCATCATTAACCTCCACAGCTTACTTGGAAACAAGTATGAACACAAACCCGGCAACCCCATCTTTCTCTTCCTCTTCCTCGTTATTCTTTCTAATCTCAAACTGTCACGTCATTTACCGAAAAAAAAAAAAACAATTTTTACCTATTCGTTCTTTCCGAAACCATCGTTTCAATTTTCCCAATGAAAAATTCTGATTTTTCTTTTTTCTTTTGGATTTTCTCAGATGGTCTTTGATCGCTGCAAGATTACCGGGAAGAACCGATAACGAAATCAAAAACTACTGGAACACTCACATCAAGCGGAAACTCTACAGCCGCGGAATCGACCCGCAAACCCATCGGCCACTCAACGCCGCCTCCGCCACTCCGACAACCGCCGCTGTTCCGTCTCCCTCCACCGCCACAGTCCCCGTGGCCACGTCGTCATCCAACAAAAAAATAAACAGCGACAGCATTAGCAGCTCCAACACCACCACCAACACCACCCATGATGTCGTTATTACCAACAACAATAACAACAGCAACGGTTTTCAGTTGGTGACTAATAGTGCTTATGCCAACACCACAACAAAGGTTGGAACCGATGAAGATTCTAACAGCAGCAGCGGCGTGACCGTGGAAGAATCGTTCCCTCACCATCAACTCAACTTGGACCTTTCCATTGGTCTTCCCTCTCACCAAGTTTCTTCTTCGGTGAACCCAGAAAAGTTGAAAGCGGAAGAGCATGATCAAAAACCGCATGTGTTGTACCACTGGTATGGGAACATTACTGGCCAAGGTGTTTGTCTTTGTTACAGTCTAGGGCTTCAAAGCGACCAAGCTTGTTATTGCAAAGGCATGGGTGCTACTGCTACCACCACTACCAGGGTTACTACAACTGCCACAGATAGTAATCTATACAGATTTTACAGACCCATGAATATTTAGAACATGAATGTCATGTTAATTGTTGTGACTTCCCTTTGTTAACATGGAAATAGTAGTTGTAGAATCCCAAATTTTGAGAAAATTCTAGATAAATTTTTGCCTCTAATTTTGCATTTTGGTTTTCATCTTTTATTGAATTTTGAATTCTTAACTTCTCTGTTTCATCGAGATTTGGCTGAATGTTAAATTATAGCCTCATGAAAACTGGTTTTGTGCTTTACTTTGCAAACACTCTAATAAATGTTTAATGGGGCTAAGCGATTAAAACTCATAATCTATTAATACTGTTCCAAAGCATACATGTGGTTCCACTATTTTGAACATAAAAATATATATGTGGTTTAATTTTAATTTAGGAAGTAGTATCTTAATACAAATAAAAACAAACTATGTACGATGTTATAATGATACTAATTTTAAGATAAAATAATGTATTTTTTTTCATATAACATGATCAATTTTTAATTTTATACAATAATAAAAAAATACGGTCTTTATATCGTTGTTACTTTTCTTTTTTATATAATATTGTTAAATTTCATTTAATACAATTGTAAAATGTTGACTTGTTGCCTTTTGCACACATTTATTAATTGGTTTTTTAATGTCTATATGTAGAAGAAAAGATAAATGTTGTTTTAGTCACAGTTAGTTGGATTTTTTTTCCCATTATTCTTACCATAACTCAAAATTATTGAGTATTCCTCTGTTAAACCATAGTTCAATTATCCTCTTTTATTATAAATAAAAATACCTGATCAAAAGTGAATAACTAATATGTTACGTTTGATAATGTTTAACAAAAAATATAACTGGTCAGTCAATAAATAATAAACTAATACATTATTAATATTTTAAGTAATAATGTTTGCTAATATTTAATGGCCCAATTAATTTATATAATTAAAATGCAAACAAAAGTTATAGTTATTAATGAAAATTGGTCAATTGGTTAGTTAGGATACTAAAAATTAAAAAATATATATATACCATTCCTCCTTCTTCTTCTTCTTAATACTAACTTGCATAATACTAACTTGCATACTAAGATGAGACAATATGTTTAAATAACGTACGTCTCTAACCATATAAAATAAAATATTAGAATGGCGAATATAATGAAGTTGGGTGGAGTAATTTTGAGATGAAAAAGGCACATATATAATAAAGAGGGAAGTAGTTATGATTGGGTAAAAATTGAATATTCTGGCGTAGGAGTGGTGGGTGAGTAATGAGTTGTTAGACATTAACTAAGTTTGGTAAGTCACAGTAAGTTTTACAGATATCCTCTACAGTGAGGAGCAGTGGCAGCAGCAAGACAGTGATCACTGGTGAAGTTACCTAGCTGAGGCCACAAGAAAATGAAGCTACTACACAAACCCAATTCAATTCATGATCTTACTGATATCTTATAGCCACTGTTTAGGTAGGAGACAGCTTTTGAATGCATACCTACCACTTACTGTCACAGGAACAACACAATTATGGGAAAACTCCACCACAAACTTTCCTTCACATCCATTCATACATTCATATTCATATCTCCTACAATCAATTCATTCCTCTATCCTCCTTCTTCATCTACGTAATGCAGATATGTTGTTTATGTACTGTAAAGCATACCACATACTCCTACAGCTAACTTTGTACGTAGACTTGGAAAGACAAAAAAAAATGGTGAGTCTAATGTTGCAGTTTGGTTCGACACAAGATGCTCAAATAATAATTGAGGTCAGCCTTTGAATTCTCAACGGAAACAAAATCAAAGTTGAAGTCTTACTTTGCTGATTGAATAAAGATAATTCCCAAGCTTTAAATAAATAGCCAACAAAAAAATGAAGGTTTATTTTAGTATGATTAGGTTTTGTTTGAAGTTTTCCGTCTTCTAGAAACCAAACTATTATTGTTATTATTATAGATGTGTATTAATCCGAATTTGCTCATTCACAAACGCAAGTAACATACACAAAAGAGACTAATAAATTTTCTGTAATCAATAATGCATGAGGGAGTTTTGTTATTTACAAATTCTGTATCATCAAAAATAAAAGTTGATCAATGCATTGCACTTGTCGTGAAAAACAAGCTTAGACTTTTAACATGTTTAATTTCTAGCAATGATGTTTAATTAAGCATATTACTTAATAGCATGCTTAATGCATTAGGTTGAAGTTTTGAACCGATATTCAAATATAACATTTACAAAGGGACGTGGCCCACGGCACGTGGTTGGGCAGAATGTTTCCAAATATTCAAAAAATAAATCACATTCCATGACATGTATAGATAAGAAGCAATGAATGGCATAGATAAAAATTAAATAAAAAATAAAAAATTAAGGTGCATAATAAATGAAATAAATAAAAAAGAGAAAAATGAGTAAAACAGTACAGTTGTGAATTAAAAAAAGAAATTAGTTGAAAAGAAATTTGATTGAGTAAAATAGTTATAAAAAGAAGAGAAAAAATAGATAGGTAGGAAAAGGTGTTTGGTGGGGAGTGGGGCCTACGGCACAAAGACAGGAACAGAAGAGGAAGCGAACATTGAGCGGTTTGGGTAGGTAGATGTTGGTGACATCAGCTACGACACCCACCCTTTTGTCTTTCTCATAAATTCTTTCATGCTTTTGCTTTATACAGTTCATTTTCATTTTCTTTTTAAATTCATTTCTTTATTTTCGATTTCCTTATTACTTTTAACTACTTTTTAAGTATACCATTTATTTCTTCAAACTAAATACCACCAAACACGTGTTTCTCTATTCTTTTCGCCATCATACTTTTTTTGGATAATGTTATTTCATTATTTCTATGTATGACATTGTTAAAAGACAAACATGCTTGAATTTTGTTTTAAATTTATTTTTTTCAAATAATTAATACAATTATATGTCTAAACTATTAATTAAATCAAAATATTCCATAAAGAACATAAATATAACACAGAAACTTTAGATGTGTATTTAGTTTAATTTATCTTATATGCAATATAATTGTAAATATATAGACATATTTGTCCGATAAAAGGAACTATTAATAAGAATAGTTTATAAATAAAAAAATATTTTTTTATGAATTCTATATACAAATTACTTAAAAATTAATTAAAATTATTTATATAAGTATTTTTTTAATTTTAATTTTTTTTTCAATTTTAAATAATTTTTTTAAGACTTACAGTCAAATATTAATTTTTATTCTTAAACAATTATTTTAACTTAAGATGCACTAAATTACTCTAGCCATACTTAGTGAAATAGTTCATTAGAATACGATATTGTGGTAAAATGATTTAAGTAATATGTATATAAATTTTTAGGTTTAAAATCACTTTTCATCTCAATATAACAGTGTTTGAGATTAGATTCTCTTTGGAAAAAAAGGAAGAATAAAATCAATCCAACCCCTCTCTCTTCAATTTCTGCTACCAATACTTTCTCATCATCTTCAATAGTGTTTTGTGAATACTTTGGTTCTATAAAAAATTTTCATTACTATTTATCTATTACATTGTGTGAATCCATCATATTCAACCTTTTTTTATATTGTATGATAAATTTTTTTTTTTTAACTTTCATGTAATTTATCAATCCTTTAAATTTTATTGCTAAATTTTACATTTTAAAATCTTTTTCACAACGCGTAATGACCTATCAGAAATTAAAAGATTATTAAAATTTAGCTTTTAAAAAAATGGTATTTAGCAATTATTAAACGTTAGCTATTCATATTTTATATTTTAAAAATGAATCATATAATAATATATTTTTAAAAAATTTATTCAAATAAAATATTTAATAATTTATTTAGCTAAGTACAATTTATTTATTTATTTAAGTAAATATATTTATTGTTCATAAATAGTTTTTCTTCGTTTTATCATAAATCTTTTTTATTTTTTCTCTTACTCATTCACTCCTTATTTCTATCTTTTCTATCTTACATTTATTTTTCTCTCTCCTCTTTCACTTATTCTTTTAATTAAACTACTATATTAAACTATATAAAAATATGTTAAAATAAATATTTTAAAATAATAATAAAACTAAAAAAAATATTAAATAATTATTTAAAAATACGATGACAATAAATAATTAATTTAAATTTTTTTATCATAATAAATAATTATTCATCTAATTAAAAAATATATAAAATTTTATAAGTTAAATATCTTTTTTATTTAATAATTTAATCTAGTTATAATTAGATTAAGTTATGATAATTGGTTAGATTAGGTCATTTTTTAAAAATATTTATTAAAAAATTAATTTAAAATAAATATCTTTTTTCTTAATAATTATAATATAATAATAATATTTATAATATTTCAAATTTATCGTATAATATTTTTAAAATATAATATATTAAATTATAATATTTATAGATCATTTAAATATTTTTATTTTTCAATAATAATAAAAACTCACTTTATCAAATTTTAATCTACTAAATTGAATAATAGGATGGGGTGAGAGAAGAGAAAAAGAGGAAAACATGAAGTCAGAAAAATAAAAAAAATAAATGAAAAAAGAAAAATGATTACATTATGTCAAACCAATTTTTTTTTATTGAATTTTGTGTATGAATATTAAACTTAGCTAAATAAATAAACCTAATAAAAAGACTTTATTTAAATAACTTTTTTTAAAATATATTATTTATGAGATTGATTTTAATATGATAGAATTGGTAGAAATTGAGAGGAAGAAATAGAAACCGAGAAACTTTCTGAAATAAATCTGTAATTTGTATTTTTATTCATATTGAATACAAAGAGAAGAGAAATATTTATAGTTACACTCTCAAGGTTGAACAGAATGTTGAGTCAGCAAAACTGACTCAGATTTTAATAAGCACATGGGTTAATACATTAACAGAAAGTTGAGTCAGCATAACTGACTCAGATTAATTAAGCACATGGGCTAATACAATGCAGCTGTAATATATCATAAGTTATTCACTAACATTTCCCCCTCAAATTCAGGGAAGGGTTGATCTGTCAAAAACCCTGAGTTTGGATCTGAGCACTTGAAACCGAGTAGGAGATAGAGGCTTGGTAAGCACATCAGTAAACTGAAACTTTGCTAGTATGTGCTAAACAATAAGACTTTTGTTAAGCACTTTTTCCCTTACAAAGAAAATATCAAGCTCCATATGTTTGGTTCTAGCATGGAGAACTAGAGTGTAGGAAAGAGAAATTGTGTTAAGATTATCACATTAAAGGATAGGAGGTTGATAGGGGACCTTGAGTTCTTTTAGGAGAGACTCCAACCAGAGAAGCTTAGCAGTGGTTGAGGCTAGACTTTTGTATTCTGCCTCTATACTAGATATTGCAACAATAGTCTGTTTCTTAGACCACCAGGATACCAAGTTTGGCCCCAAAAAGATGCAGAAACTAGAAGTTGATCTTTTGTCATCTTTGTCAGTAGCCCAATTAGCATAAGAAAAGGCTATAAGATGTAGAGAAGAAGCAGAAGAGGGCTGCAACAAGAGGCCATGATGAGGAGTGCCCTTTAAGTACCTTAGGATTCTTTTTACAGCTTTCCAATGATCTTCTAGGGGATTAGACATGAATTGACAGACTTTGTTAACTGCAAAACATATTTCTGGTCTATTTATGGTGGCATATTGTAGTGCTCCAACAATAGATCTGTAGAAAGATGGATCTTCAACATAATTAGCACCATGCTTGGAGAGGTTAAGATTAGCAACCATAGGAGAAGAGATATTTTTTGTATCAATCATCTTAACTTTGTCAAGAATATCTTTGATGTATTTGGCTTGAGAAAGATGGAGAGACCCATTGGAGAGATGATGAACCTTGATACCCAGAAAATAATCAAGTTGTCCAAGATCTTTGAGAGCAAATTGAGAGTTGAGAGACTTAATAAGTTGTTGAATATAAGATGTAGAGCTGCCAATGATGATTATGTCATCAACATAAACCAAAATGTAAACACAGTGTGTAGTAGTGTTAAGAATGAACAAAGAAGGATCACATTTGCTGTAAATAAAGCCAAAGTTGAGAAGAGTAAAGGAAAGTCTGTCAAACCATGCTCTAGGGACCTGTTTAAGGCCATAGAGAGCCTTGTGAAGTCTGCACACTAGGCTGTTGTCAGAAGAGACAAAACCAGGAGGTTGAACCATGAAAACTTCTTCCTCAAGAATGCCATTGAGAAAAGCATTTTTAACATCAAGTTGTTGAAGTGACCACCTTTTGAAAATAGCCAAGGAGAAGATGGTTTTGACTATGACAAGCTTAACTACAGGAGAAAAGGTCTCATTGTAATCAAAGTCAGGCTGTTGATGGAAGCCCTTGGCTACTAGCCCAGCCTTACACTTATTTATAGATCCATCATAATTATCTTTCACACGAAACACCCATTTGCATCTGATTGCTTGCCTACATATAGGAAGAGGAACTAAGGACCAAGTCCCATTTTTTATTAGTGCATTATATTCCTCTTGCATAGCAGAAAACCATTTAGGATCTGTCATGGCCTATTTGTAGGAAGTAGGTTCCAAGTGAGTTAAAATTAAAGTAGGATGTAACCGTGGTTTGAAAATTCCTGCTTTTGCCCAATTAATCATGGGATGTGAATTAAGAGGATGGGATACAGGTCGTAGATTGGTTGGAGAAGCTGAAGGTGCAGAATCATCATTGGGAGGAATAGATGGATTGGTAGGAGCTGTGTGAGATGAAGGAGCTAGTTGAGAGAAAGATTAAGTGGGTAAGTTAAGAGAAGGTGAACCTGGTGTAGTGTAAGTAGAGGATGGTGGAGAAAACAAAGGAACTTTGGAGGTAGGAAAGGAGCTAGAGAGGTTGGATGCTGAGACAGGAGAGGAGAAAAATTAATCAGTGTATGGAAACCAATGCTCATTGAAGAAGACAGCCTTAGAAATAAAAATTATGCCATCAGAAGCAAGGCATTTGTAACCCTTATGATCAGATGAATAACCCAAGAAGACACACTCTTTAGAATGAAAAGACATTTTATGAGAGTTATAGACACGAAGAAATGGAAAACAGGCACAACCGAATACCTTCAAGAACTTATAGTCAGGGTGTTGACCAAAGAGAACAAGATGAGGTGATTTAAGATGAAGGACTGGTGTAGGAAGCTTATTGATGAGGTAAGTAGCTGTGTGGAAAGCATGATCCCAAAATATGAAAGGTAAATTGGATTAAGCTAGTAAAGTAAGACCAGTTTCAACAATATGACGATGTTTGTGTTCCACTGAACCATTTTGATGATGTGTGTGTGGACAAGAGATTCTATGCACAATGCCAAGATTTGTAAGAAATTTGTATAAAGGATGAAATTCACCTCCCCAAACTGTTTGTACAGACTTTATTTTAGCATTAAGTTGTAATTCAGCCATATTTTTTAATTGAATAAAGACAGAATAGGCATATGATTTTTGTTTGAGAGGATAAATCCAAGTAAATTTGGAGTAAGCATCAACACAAATGTGGAAATAGTGATGACCATGAGAGGAAAGAACAGGAGAGGGACCCGACAAGTCACTGTAGACAAGTTCAAGCGGAATTGTAAAATTT